TTTATCCAGTAGACTGCATTCTAACGCTGTTAACTCTTCTTTTGGCCACTCCAGAGCTTCCTAGCCACTCTCTCTCAAAATTCAGGAGGACAGGAGCGTGATGGGGACTTGGTCAACCCGTATCAGGATGGCAGGGGCAGGCTGGGCTGCGGAAGATGCCTTTGTCCTCGAAAACCTCTCAATAAAGACACATGCGACCATGGGGCAGGATTTTGTTTTCTCACCTTGTGGTCAAATTGCATTGTGGCAGAGTTAAGCAATAGAATTCCCCTGGAGCCCCTTCACTGTAGATTCCAACCCAAAGACAACCTCTAATAGTTCTTGCTTATTTTCATTTTATTTGAAAGGCAGTGGGACAGCTAGAGAGACTCAGAGACAGAAGGAGATCTTCCATCTGCTGGTTCACTCTCCAAATGCCCACAACAGCCAGGGCTGGGCCAGGCTGAAGCCAGGAGCCTGAACTCCACCTGGGTCTCCTATGTGGGACACAGAGACCTGAATGTCTGCGCCTCCTAGAGTCTGCATTAACTGAGGGAACAGGAACAGGAAGCAGAGCCGGGGCTTGAACTCAGGCACGTCAATACAGGATGTGGGGCTGGTGCCGCGGCTCACTAGGCTAATCCTCCGCCTTGCGGCGCCAGCACACCGGGTTCTAGTCCCGGTCGGGGTGCCAAATTCTGTTCCGGTTGCCCCTCTTCCAGGCCAGCTCTCTGCTGTGGCCAGGGAGTGCAGTGGAGGATGGCCCAAGTCCTTGGGCCCTGCACCCCATGGGAGACCAGGATAAGTACCTGGCTCCTGCCATCGGATCAGTGCGGTGCGCCGGCCGCAGCCGCGGCAGCCATTGGAGAGTGAATCGACGGCAAAGGAAGACCTTTCTGTCTGTCTCTCTCACTGTCCACTCTGCCTGTTAAAATATATATATATATATATATATATATATATATATATAGGATGTGGACATCCCGAGCAGTGTCTTAATCACCGTGTCAAATACCCACCCAGGGGCCAGCACTGTGACCCATAAAGCCGCCACCTGAGATGTCAGGTGCCCATGCTGGTTTGAGTCCCGGCTGCTGCACTTCTGATCCAGCTCCCTGCTAATGTAGCTGGGAAAGCAGTGGAAGATGGCCCAAATGCTTGGGCCCAGGCCACTCACATGAGATTTCCAGATGAAGGTCTTGGCTCCTGGCTTCAGCCTGGCTCAGCTCTGGCTATTGTGGCCACTTGGAGAATGAACCAGCAGATGAAGATCTCTCTCTCTCTCTCCTTCAAATAAATAAATCCTTAAAAAAAAAAATCCTGCTGATATTGCTGCCACTAAAGACCATCTTGTTCAATTTAAATATATATATATATATATATATATATATATATATATATATATATTTGAAAGACAGAGTTAGAGAGACAGGGAGAGACATCTTCCACCTGCTGGCTCACTCCCCAGATTTCTGCAACAAGCAAGTGTGAGCCAGACCCAAGCCAGGAATCAGGAACTCCATTGGGGTTTCCCACGTGGGTGCAGGGGCTCAAGCACTTGGGCCATTTTTTGCTGCTTTCCCAGGCACATTAGCAGGGAGCTGGGTTAGAAGCGGAGCGTGTGGGACTGGAATCAGTGCTCCAACATGGGATGCCAGTGTTACAGGCTTAACCTGCTGTGCCACAACATGGGCCCACATGTTGCTGGACTTCACATTAAATCATGTAGCATGTACTCCCCCCCCCCCAACTTTCCTGCAGCTTTATTCATAACGCTGTAGTCACTACATAAATCTACCTATTTCAAGTATACAACATCTAGTATTTCAACACACTCCCTACTCCATGCCAAGGGATCACCAGTCAAGATAAAGAACATGCCCATCACCCACACAACTTCCTGTGTCCCTTTGTCTCCCCCTGTCCCTCTCCCCTCCAGCTACGGATAAATTAGTTGTGTTTTCAAGAAACCGTTTATAGAATCATCCAGAAGGTGCTTTTGTGCCTGGCTTCCTCCACTCAGCCCAGTATTTGGATTCAACCCTGCTGTGGATGGCTACTTTGTTCTTGTTTTTATTGTATGGGAATAGCACATTCTGTTCACCATTCAATTATTGATGAACAATGCAGTGTTTTCCAGTTCAGAACTCACTGGGAAAATCCACTGTGAACATTCCTTTACAAGTCTTTCTGGGAACACAAGTTTCCGTGTCTCTTGGGTAGACCCCCCGCCACGGAAGTGATGAGCCAAGGGTAGCTGCAGACTGAAGTCTGTGTGAGACTACCACATTCTCACCAAACGGCTGAAGCTTAACACTAGGCTTGTTCCTACACCACCGGGTTATACTTGTTCCCTCTCCTTGGGGCAATTTTTCACTAGTTACACCACAGCTGGCCTCTTGATATCCAGCCCTCAGCCCCACTGTCTGATTATAAAAGGGCCAACACACACTGGATTGTATCCCCCTCACCCAATTCATGTTGAAGTCAAAACCTGCAGGACTCGGGCTGGCACTGTAGCGTAGTGGGTAAAGCCGCTGCCTACAGTACCAGCATCCCATATGGGTGCTGGTTTGAATCCTGGCTGCTCCACTTCCGACCCACCTCTCTGGTACGGCCTGAGAGCAGGAGAGGATGGTCCAAGTCTTTGGGCCCCTGCACCTGTGTGGGAGACCTGGAGGAAGCTCCTGGCTTTGGATCGGTGAAGCTCTGGCCATTGCGGCTAATTGGAGAGCAAACCAGCTGATGAAAGACCTTTCTCTCTCTCTCTCTCTCTCTCTCTCTCTCTCTGCTTCTCCTCTCTCTGTGTGTAACTCTTTCAAATAAATCTTAAAAAAAAAAAAAAAAAAACCTGCAGGACCTTAAAATGCGACTGTAATTGGACAAAAGTTCTCCAAGGAGGTGATTACGTGAAAGCGAGGCCATGAGAGTCGGGCTCTAATCCAGTGACGCTGCCATGTTGTGCCAGAGGCTTCCGCTCGCCATTGCAGAAGCATCGTCACAAAGACTGCTTCAAGCAAGGATCATCAAAGAATGATAAAGCCAGGCAATCAAATCAGATGAAGGATACTTCAACAGCACCCAGGTGTCTTCCCACAGGGAACTCGCTGGCTGCAAAGGGAGAAGACGACACTTTCCAGCACATATCGAGGTCACAACACCGACTTCGGGACAAGCTGGCATCGTGGGCTTCCTGATGTGGAGCCATGAGGACAAGTCTCTTCCAGTGTATTTCTGCCAAAAAGTACATGCTCTGAATTTCCTTATTTTTGTATTTATTTATTTGAAAGGCAGAATTACAGAAAGAAAGAGGTCTTCTATCTGTTGGTTCACTCCCGAAATGCCCCAATGGCCAGGACTGGGCCAGGCCGCAGCAGGAGGACTCCATCCAGGTCTCCCAGGTGGGTGACCATCGTCCACTGCCTTCCCAAGCACATCTGCTGGGAGCTGGGTTGACAGTGAAGCTGCTGGGACTTGAACCGGTGCTCAGACAGGATGCAGGGGTCGCAGGCCTCAACTTAGTTCCCCACCTTGCCACAATGCCCCACCTCCACGCCACACTCTGAATTTAATCATCAGAAAATACAAGTATCAGATAAACCCAAATGTAGGGGCATTCTACACTGACCAATAATCTCTGAAACATGTCAAAGTCACACACACACAAAAATAGCTGAGTAAACTCCCTGTCTTTCCAGGAATAGAGACATGTCTGCCGAATGTAAAACATGATCCTGAATTGGATCCAGGGGTGGAGGAGGGAAGGTAGCTATAAAGGACATTATTGGGGCAATCAGTAGAACTAGATTGCCGATGGTGTACTCAACACAAGTGCCACTGTGGCGTTCTGCATCTGATCATTGCACTGCGTATCTACAAGAGAAATGTCCTTGCTTGTAGGAAACACAGAGAAACAGTCGGGACAGAGAGGGAATGGCACCTGAAGCTCTGAGATGACTTAGAAAGCCAGGATGGGGCTGGCACTGTGGCATAGCGGGTAAAGCCGCCACATGCAGTGTCAGCATCCCATATGGGCATATGGACACCAGTTCGAGGCCCAGCTGCTCCACTTCCAATCCAGCTCTCTGCTATGGCCTGGGAAAGCAGTGGAAGATGGCCCAAGTTCTTGGGCCCCTGCACCCACAAGGGAGACCTGGAAGAAGCTCCTGGCTCTTGGCTTTGGATCAGCCCAGCTCCAGCCATTGTGGCCATTTGGAGAGTGAGCCAGGGGATGGAACACCTGGATCTCCCTCTCTGCTTCTCTGTAACTGTGCCTTTCAAATAAAAAAAAAAAAAAAAAAAAAAAAAGGCCAGTTTGTGTGTACAGGCAGACACACACGGGAGAGAATACGGTCACACAAACGCAGCAACACGCAACCATGTTATTCTTGCTGAAAGGGAGACCAAAGTTCTTTACTGTCCCTGCAGTTGATGTGTACATCTGCTCTCTTATTTTCTGAGAGAGGCCCTCGGGTGGACGCTACAGAAGTGGCCCGTCTCCCGTGGCTGGGGCTCCGTTCCTTTTCTCCATCACAAAACCCTGTGGGTTCCACCGAACAACACCTAAAAACAGGGGGTGGGAGGGGTCTCTGCCTGCTCCAGCCTGTTCCTCCCTGTGGATGCGTGGACCCACGGGGCTCGTCCCCGCCGGGGGCCGGGAACCTCGACCCCAGCCGGGGAGGGTCTCTCCCCAGCGACTGCAAAGGGCGCCACGTTCCGGGTGCTCAGTAAGCACCCGTAGATGCGGTTAACACAGACCGAGCACAACCCGGCGAACCACACACTCAAAACCCCACGCCCCCGCAGAGCCGGCGGCGCGGCGAGGAGGGCCCCGTCGCCCCCGCCTCGGCCGAGGGATGCGGGCAGGGCGCGGCGGGCCGGGATCCCAGCCCACCCAGGCCCGCGCCGTGAATCAATCAAGCCGGCCAATCCCATCACCCCATCAGTACTTATTAGGCGCCCTCGGTGCGGCTCGCCTTCCCACAGCTCGTCGGAGGAGCCGCGCTGCGGCGCGCGGGAGTTTGGCGCGTAGTTTTTTGTCGCCCGAGCGTGCTCGCCGGTGATTGGGCCGCGGCGCGGCGTGCCCGATGCGCGGGGCCGCGGCTGCTCGGTCGACCTCGGCGGCGGCCGGGTGGCGCACTTCTCGGCCGGCCTCCCGGGGGATGGGCCACCAGGAGTCTCCGCTGACCCGAGCGCGGGCGGGAGGCGCGGCTTATATAAAGAGGTTATGTAAAGGGCTCAGCTGGCGCCAACACGTGGAGAGCCACGGGGGCCTGGGAGCTTGGGCCTCCCCCGCGCGCGCCGCTGCCACCGCCGGCGCGGCCGCAGAACCCGTCGCGGCCCGGGCGCGGACCACCACCACCCGCGCGGCTCCGTGTCCGCAGCAGCCCCAGCCCAGAGCCGTCCACCCGCGGGGGCGGCCGCCAGGGGGGAAGCGGGCCGTCCGGAAGTGGAGGGGCGCCGGCCAGGTAAGGGCGCGGAGGAACCGGAGAGCGCCGAAACTGGGGCTGCTCTTGCTGCCCGGGCACCTGGGGAGGGCAGTCGGGTTCTCGGCTCGCTCCGGCCCGAGAAGCCCAGCTTGTAGTCCCACCGTCTCCACCCGCCGCCTTGGGGCACTTGGGCCAGTCCGCTGGGTCTGCGAAGGCTTAATTCAATGGACTGTTTACACTCGGGACGCCGCAAGGCGGGACGCGCGGAGGAGTCAGCTGGGAGGGAACCAGGCTGGGAAGAGGAATTCGACTGCCAGAACTGCGCTTCTTAAGGCGATTTTCTCAATTTAAGGGGACGAATTGTGCTTATTTGCCCTTTCCCCACACGATAAAGTAACTGGGAGCGCGGGTGAGGCTGCTTTCCTTTCCGGTTCCCCCTCTGAGCCCCAGCCCTGTGGTTTCGTCTTTCCCGCTTTCCCCTCCCCTCCCCCTTTGAATCAGGGGCAGAACCTTCCGTCTTAAAGGGGCCGCGGCGGCCCGAGGAGGAGGAGCAGGAGCAGGAGGAGGTGGGGCGCTGTGCGGCCTGCGTTCCTTGCCTCACCACCGCGGCCTGCCTGGTCGTTTAACCGATTCTTTCTCCAACAGGTCACAATCCAAGGTCCCGCTCCTTCGCGTTCCAGGGCCGGACGGAGTGATGAGGCAGGGGGGGCCCGGGCAGCGCCGTTGCTGCTCCCCCCGCCGCTCGCAGCCATGGAAACGGGGGAGGAGGACGGCGCCCGCAGAGGAACACAAAGCCCGGAGCGGAAAAGGCGAAGCCCAGTGCCGCGGGCGCCCAGCGCGAAGCTGAGGCCGGCGGCGGCCCAGGCCATGGATCCTGTGGCGGCCGAGGCCCCGGGCGAGGCCTATCTGGCGCGGCGGCGGCCCGAGGGCGGCGGCGGGTCGGCGCGGCCGCGCTACAGCCTCCTGGCGGAGATCGGGCGCGGCAGCTACGGCGTGGTTTATGAGGCAGTGGCCGGGCGCAGCGGGGCCCGGGTGGCGGTCAAGAAGATCCGCTGCGACGCCCCCGAGAACGTGGAGCTGGCGCTGGCTGAGTTCTGGGCCCTGACCAGCCTCAAGCGGCGCCACCAGAACGTCGTGCAGTTCGAGGAGTGCGTCCTGCAGCGCAACGGGCTAGCCCAGCGCATGAGCCACGGCAACAAGAGCTCGCAGCTCTACCTGCGCCTGGTGGAGACCTCGCTCAAAGGTAGGGGCGCCGCGGGCTCCCCGGGCCGAGGGGCCCGCGTCCTGTCACCCAGGGCCCAGACACACCCTCCTTCCCCGGGCCGTGCGGTCCGGGCCCGCCCTCTCCTCTGGACCCGCAGCAAGCGTTAGCTGGTATTTTCATAACAAGAGCTCGTTGAAGTACTGACCATTATCTCTGTGAGTGCGAGCCATTATTAAACCCCTGGCATTCCTACGGTGGGGTCGGTGGGGGGCGTGGAGGGGCTGGGCTGGGGTTCCGATTTGGTGAGAAACTGCAGAGCCCACTGGCTCTCTGGGGTCTGTTCTCTTTCACTCCTTTGCCTCCCAAAACAAACAAAAAGGAAACTTTACTGGACCCACCCACCCCATTCCCTCCTGGTTTCTGGAAGCCCTCCAGTCCCCCCCACCAAATTCACACCCTGCTGCCTTCTCCTCTGAGACCCCCCCCCCACCCCGCCCCTGCCCCCAGCGCTTCATCCCAGGGCACTGAAGCGGAAGGAGGGTTTTCTGACTCTGTCCTCTGGGATGTGCCAACTAATGGCCCCCACGGGGGGCCCCGGAGCTGTCACCCAAGAAAACATCCAACAAAAAAGTCCGTCCTTTTTCATTCTTCATCTTAACCTCCGAATCGGACTGGAAAGGAGTTTTCTTTGTACGGGAAAAGGGGGCCCATTGAGGAAAGGGGGCCTGCCGGGAGGAGTGATGATCCTAGGGTTCTGGGGTTCCTCCCACAGCTAAGGAATGTGTCCGTCCAGAGTGCCCCATACGCACACGCCTTGTGCACCCCACAGCAGGCAAGGATCAGCAGGTCCCAGGAGAGGGGCAGTGAGCTGGAGCAGTGGGACTTCCCGTGGCGGGAGTGCGTTGCTTCCAGCCGGATACCTGCAGGGATTCTGGCTAATAGCCTCAGAAGTGGGTCCTGTCCCCTCTCTCTGAATAGAGAAACAGAGGCTGAAGGCGGGCCAGGAAAACTTGCCCGAGGCTCCTGGTCGTCGTCTGCTTCTCCTGGTGTAGGTGATGTGATCAAGTGCGCAGGCTCTCCCTGCCCAAGAATGAACCTTACAGGATGGGTAGGGTTTGGGGTGCGGTTAGACAGAGGTGTCTCATCTGGAACTTTTGCCCAACTGTAAGACCCATGAGCCTGTCCTGGGAGAGCTCCGTGTCCTGTTTCAAGTCAATTGTTAGACCCATTGCCCCCTGGGGGCCGTCACCTTCACGCCCATCCCTGCCCTACATTACATTCTCAGAAGCCCTCCGGCTGCACAGTGAGCGGTTTTGTCTGGAAAAGGCGCCCCGTGATACTGTCTCCCCTTACCTGAGTTCCAGGAGCTCAGCACTAAAGCCCTCCTGTCCCAGACCCTTCAGCGTGCTTAGCGAGTGGTCTGGGCCTCTGTCACATGCCTGCCTCTGCCTCGCGGTGTGGGGACTTGCTCTGAGGAACCCCCTTCTACCCTGGGCTCACTGACCTGCAGCCCTGAAGCTTCGGCCTCCGTCGGAGGCGCTAGGTTACTACCCCAGTGTACAAAAGTGATTTCGATTTTGCTCGCCTGTAGAAATTGTCAAAACTTCACAGTAAACAGTTAGTACTGGGCGCTTGAGGGTGAGACTCCTGTTCAGTCCTGGAGTGACCGCGTGAGACACGGGGCACGCTGTCGAGAGGAACACTCCTTTATCCGTGAGAGAGGGGTACGTGCATCGTGGGGCTGCTCTGCAGACCAGAAAGGGTGAGGAGGAGCAGCTGCAGGCCGCGTCCCACCGGAGTCCTCTTCCATCTCCTCCTCCTCCTGAGGTCCACGGTGCTCCTTACGAGTGAGTTGTGTCTTAGCTGCTTGTTAAGGGGCTGTCAATCCTGCTTGTTAATATTAAAGTGGAGAACAAAGACGCACATATTACTCCAGGTGAAGTTTTCCTGACTCGGGCTGCCCCGGGGTTCCCAGCATGCTAATGCCATCTGGTAAAGTCAGTTGGAGGAATCTCAGCATCAGCCCACGTCCTTTGCTGTCACCTTTGCTTGGCCCCTTAGTCAACTTAGAGTGACTTCTGAAATCCAGCAGGAAGTGTTAAACTGCCTTGCAGCCTCCTCCGGGCTGAAGGCACTTATGCTCTGCTTTGACTCCAACTCCTTTGACCTTGAATTTGGTCTTTGGAGTATCCTTAGGGCTAGGACCCCTCCTGAGGGACTGACAGATTCCGGTTTCTGGCCTGAGTGTCTTAATTTGCATAATCTACCTGCTCTAGGCTTGCCCTGTTCTTTCTTTGCAAGCTTCGCCAGCGCCTGACTTCTCCCCTCCATGACTGAGCACCTACTGTGTGCACTCACAGTGCACTGTGGGGGAACCCAGAGACTTGGCTTCTTTCTCTTGAGTGCCTGGGAGACTGCTCTAGGGTAGCAGAGTACGACGGTCCCCCAGGGGTACGCGGGGGACCAGCTGCCAGGAGCTGTCAGAGGGAAACAAGTGATTGCCAGAGGACCCTGGAGGGCTGAGGAGGGGCGAGATGGCTGTCACCTGGAAGCCAGCGTGCAGACCTGACTCCTCTGTTAAATTCTGTCACTTGTTTGAAGGAAAAGGAAAAAAAAGAAGCTGCCATTCCTCGCCCCAGAGTGACTTACATTTGTAAAGACTCAAGGACTGGGAGAGGATTTCCATGCTAATGGGAGTCCCAGCAGGAAGGGGCAGGTGCCTTTGTCTGGAGTGTCACCCCGGATTGAGAGGAAAGAGCTGAGTTAGCAGAGGAGGTGGCCTGGAGGAAGAGTGCCTGGGCCTTCCGAGGGGCAGTCCAGAGACCACTGGACTCTTTCGCTGTTGGGCCCATGGAAGAGACGTTGTCCCACCTCAGTCTCAGGTCCTTAGTGCATATACAGAAGAGGTGCTGTGGGCTCAGAAATTACTTGATTTGTGAGTAATCCCGTATCCCAAGCAAACAGGGAACTTCGGATGCTGTGCTTGGTCTCACCCTCCTTGCCTGAGAGACTTGTATGCATCCTGTTTCTGTGTCGGAGCGTAGATCAAACAGGCCTGTCCAGAAGCAGTGTGCGGAGAGTAGACGCTGTCGAGGGCCCCCAGAGGTTTTGGATGTCTGGGATGGCCTGACGCCCAGGAAAGGGACGTCACTTGTCCGAAGTGAGTTGGTGGCAGCACTGAAGCCAGCCTCCCAGGCTTTTTGACACCAGATCAGCCAGCCTGTGAACTTGGTAATGGGTTGGTACCTGTGCCTTAGTGTAACTCTGAGGTTTGCTCTGAGCCCCTTGTTTTCTGTTGCTAAAGGACCCTGTCTTGAAGGCCTTGAAAGCAGACTTCTCTGCCACTTAGGAGACAACAGGAAGCTGGACTCGTGTGTCCAACTCCGAGATCCTGTTCCCTCTTACACTCATACCCATCCACCTGATGGAAGCGAGCGACCACGAAGGGACGCATCCAGGACGAGCTCTTGAGGCTCATGAAACCAAGTTGCTAGAAGTTTGGCAGAGCCGGGAGCCTTGTCAGCCTCCAGCTTGGCAGAAGATACTAGTTGCGCTTAACCAGTTGTTTGAGATTTGCTCCACCCAAGATGCCTTGAGGTGGCTTGAGATGAGAGGGAACCGCGGCCTTTGGGAAGGCCCATCCGAGTGACCACTCTGAGCCTGGCTACTCTCTACGAGATGCTCTGTGCAGGGTGTCGTCTGACACGCGCCCGAATGAACACAGGGCAAGGTCACCAGTGGTGGCACCCCAGAGCCGAGGAGGGGTTCCCTGGGAGCTTAGTAGAGGCATGGGGAAGGGGAAGCAGGACGACTGGGGCTCAGGGCGGAGCCTTCCCTGCCTGGACCCCCAGAAGGCAGCTCTTGAGTTGCTGGGACCTCTGAGTTGAGGGCTCCCCAGGCAAGAGGCAGAGAGCCAGATGGCGATCTTGAGCTGCCCCGACTTGGGTACAAGTGGCCATTGGGGACCCTGAAAATCAGTGGGCTGTGGTGGAATGCTGAACTTGGACCTGGCCGGTGTCAGTCTTAGTCTCACCCTGTGAAGAGCTAACGCTTGCCCATGGCCAGGTGCTGTGTAAAGGAGTTCTGCTGTTTACTCATTCATCCTCACAACCAACTTCAGAAGTCGCGATTACCTTTATCTCACAGGTGAGGCAGCTGAGACACCAGGTTAGCAAGTAGCAAAGCCCACACCTTCTTGCGTGAGTCTGCCTTGGGGCACCCTGGGGTTAGGTGGCATAAGTTCTGGGTTCTTCTGTTTTTCCTGGGTGTAAGTGGACATAGTCATATTTTACTTGGGCTCGTGTCTGCTGTTTACTTTGAATTCCATGTCAATCGGTGCTTGTGGCTGTGTTGATTTCTGCAGGTGTCTTCCGTGTGTCTCAACTCCCAGGGGCTCTGCCAGCCCTCAGGTCTCCTTGTGAATATCTTGGGTCAGCTGTGCAGGCTTCTAGCTTCTGACCCACTGCCATCCTTCCCTGTGCTCTGGGGAGTTGAGGTAGTACCCTCAGGAGGTGGACGCAGCCCTTCGTACTTGAGAGCTTTGGTCAGTTGGGGCTGATGGGGTAAGGCACTTTATAGTGAAAACTCTCAGGGTGAGCTCAGCTTTCCTCTTCCCCTTGAATTTGGCCTTTGGTGCAGTCCTTAGGGCTGGAGCCCTCCAGATTCTGGTGTCTGACCTAACTGTCTTCGCTTTTACATATTCTGCATGCCCACTGCTACTCTCGTTGTTCTTCCTCTTTAATCCTGTGTAGCTGTTGACCCTTACCTTAATTCACCTCACTCCTTTCCTGAACACCTACCTTGTGCATGTGTGCAGTGCCATGCACAGGTCTGTCGCCTCTGGAGAGAGAGACCTGAGCCCGGACTCCTGTGATGCTGGTGGAGTCTGTGTTTCACAAGACCCCGTGATGTCCCCAGTATCACCATCCGGCCTTTCATAGTGTTACGTATTCAGTCTCTCATTCGATCCTTTCCACTGAGAGAAGTTGATGTTCCTGTAACCTGCAGGATCCTTCAAGGTCAAGTAATTGTCCAGTGCA